GCAAAGGCAAAGAAGAAAAAAATATAACTGCATAATTTRAAAAAGGCCCTCAAACAAGATTACAGCTTTAGCATTTAGACACATTTTAGGCCTGTCCTTTGACAACACACTTTGTATTAGTCACCATTCACCACACACACAATAACAAATTAAAAAACTTGTTGTACCATGCCCTTAAGGTTTACACACAAATGCATTAAGAACAGGTTAAAAACATGGAAAATGTTATGGAAAAGTAGTCAGATTTTTTCTGAGCATTTAAGAAAAAACCCAGACGTCCCTCTTTTTTTATTTTTTTATTTTTTATTTTTTTATGGAAGTCATAACAATTGTCAAACAATAGATCATAAAATTATTTAAAAGGGAAACTAAGAAAATGGTGTAGTGCTTTTAGCATCAGTATCCAACCGATAAATTCCTTCAATTTCATTCAAATACTAGATACTACATAAGTACACAAAGCACCAATGTACCAGAACTCACCAAAAACTGGTTTATTATTTTGGGTGGGGTCTGGGGGTGGTAGGGTGGCTCATTGGTGGGCCCAATGGATAGCCTTTTCTCAGAGCTAAACAAAAAATAAATAAAAATAAATAAATAAATAAATAAATAATCTGAAGCTTTTACGATGAATAGTTTTTGAGTTGTAAGCATTTTTTTCATGTCCAGACACCACATTTTTAGGTGGAGCCCCCTCAAATATGAGGTCCATCATAAATCCTTTGGCTGCTGCAGTGTAGATCAGACACATCTAGATTCCTGCCAAATTTCATGTTGATCAGTGCGGCTGTTTCCGTGCTATGGTTGACCAAAACCCACTGGAAAAATAAAAAGAAAACTGTGCAAAAACAGTATGACCCCTGCTTTGTGTATGGGGGTCTTCATTGCATTTATGTCACACAATGTTTCAGTATATTTAATCTCTAGGTTTAGACCTTGGATGTTGGGTCTGTTCGACTTTTGTTAAAAGTTCCTGCTAAACAAAACCTTGACAGCAGCAAATACTCAGTATTTGCTTGCTAATCAATCAAATCAAATAAAAAATACTTTATTGAGCCCAGAGGGAAATTAGGTAATCGTGAATCTAATCGGTAGTTCTCCTTTAGCATTGTGAATTAATAAACCAAATAGTAAAGTTTTGTTTTGTTGACAGTTCTGTCCTTGGCAGCAAAATAGATTTTTTTTATTRTATTAAATTCTTCAGAATTTATCTATCTTCAGTTTTGTTGACCAATTCTTATCTCAAATGAGCTCGCTGCAGGATCAGAAAACCTCAAATGTGAAGTGGGCCATGAAGTTGTTGCTTCTGCCTCGAGTGCAAGAAAAGACTTACACTGTCTGTAAAAAAATAAAAATAAAAAATAAAAACATCCACTGAGGTKACATTTAAAATCTACCGTGTCTGTTTTTGGACTGTGTGTGCTGATATTCTCAAGAAGACAATGAAGAAAACATAAGGTCCTTTGAATTATTAATGATKTATCAGAGCCTTTTATGCTTGCTTAATATGAACATTAAATACAAGTGTTTTCCAAACGCCTTCAGCAGCTGTTTGCCGGCAAATTCTGGATTAGGTTTAGCCCGGTGTCCTGTTCCTGTGGGACATCACAATCCTGTGACATGCAGCTGACAGCTTACCCTCCTCCTGCAGAGCTTCTTCTCCTTGGGGGGAAGAGAACTGGATTCCTGTTTGTGATTACTCGACTCTCCRTTGTTAGTTTCATCGTCTTATTTGTTGCATCTCCGAGAGCGCCGCCACTCTAGCGAACTCCTTCGTCTGAAAACCTGAAAATTATCTTGCATTGTGCTTTATAAGAGAGAAAATAAATACCCAGTTTAGTTTGCCGTGCTCCCTGTCCCCCGTGGCTGACTCCTGTTAGGCTGGCAGAGACTGAAGCTCCAGCTCTAGCCCCTTCAATTTATTTTGATATTGAATGTGGGAATACCYTTAAAAACGACTGGGCTTCCACTATTGGATTTCTGACAGGTGCTCACTTTGTYTTAGGTAATCATTCCCTCACAAGTCTTTATTCATATTTTTATGAATTTACACTGGAGCTTTTTCATTTGCAGCATTTCAGACATTTTTTTATATGAATCTCAGAAGAGCAAAGATTATGTGGAAAAAAACGTAACTTTTTAACACACATGATTAATCTTATTACTCTTTTATATATTTAAGCTATAATGTATAATTTAAATGTGCATTGAATARACCAAATACTCCATACTGTATATGATAAATATATATTTGTAAAACTTACTGTAATTTATAAGATGTTCAACCAGTGTTTAACTGACCTATAACAACAGATTGCTTTACCAATAAGGCTTTTAGGTAAAATGTGAGCATATTTTCAAGATATTTACCTGGTTCACTTATTCACATGTTTCATTCTAARACTGAAACAGATATATCTAGCAGTGTGTTTTTATGTAGACTTGTTGTGGACAAYTATTTGCAATCATGACATTGAGGCTGTAGCTAATATGAACATCTGTTTTTTTTTCATAAATGTTGTAGACTTCAAAAGTTGCTCAGTTTTTCTACGCATCTTGTAGCAGTCTTCAAATGCAGCATTTTTGCTTCAGCTGCCTGGCAGGAATCAGACAGTTTAGCAGTGAGAACGTGTTTGTCACACGCTCCATCATCTGAAGCGTAGCCCAGGAGGGCGTGGAGAAATTGGATTTGGGTGAGGAATGTGACAGAATCATCCTAAGGGATGGATGTGACATTGGCTCTGTGTGACAAGGAAGTGGTGATGAGGTGGTGTGAGTACATTGCATCCCTGTCACCCCCACAGCTCCCATCTCTCCCAACACCCCCTTCTGCTCCCCTTCTCACCACTCCAAAAGCAGTAATAGCTTGGCGATTGGCTCGTGGTGAAGTTACACCACTGGAAATGTTGTTACGACCTCCTGCCAGCATTAAACCATTTCACCAGCAAAACTCAAGACAGGCTCCTAATGCTGCTGGTAAAAGCAGTCACCAAAAACAGGAGCTAAATATTCAAGAACCYAGGCCTATTACACTTCTATCACCATATGTACTGTATTTATGTACTTTTTGAATATGTGGTCATGGCTTTTGAAAACTATTCTCTTTTTGTTTGATAGGACTGGTTTTATTCATTTATTAGTGACAAATACCCATTTTATGTCTTTTTTTATTAGTTGGTTTCTTATTTGTTTTTATGTTATATGTTTACATTGTCAATAATGTCAATGACCTAAAATTTGTTCAGAGTAAAAAATAATAATAATAAATAACAGAAGAAACTTGAGCTATGTTGGAGGGCCGAAACCAGCAATACGTTGTACTTAATTATGCTTAATAGTATATTTTTCTCCCATTATTAAAAGCAGTACATTATATAGTTTGATTAGCTGCTACTGCCAATTAGGACATGATGTAAATGTTTATGTAAATACGTGACATTGTGATGTAGGTGGTAAAGGAAAATACTTGTACACAAACAGTGAAAACAAAAACAGTCATTTTATTTTAGCAAGTCTATCCATCCATCCATCCATCCATCCATCCATCCATCCATACATACATACATACATACATACATACATACATACATACAT